GCAGAGATGGTCATATACGTCATGATAATCAGGCCTTGAAGTGACATTCCGAACGCTGCGCTATAGAAGGCTGTCACAACCCAGTAAATGCTGTTTGGGTCGGAACCTGTTGCTTGTATGGCTAGAGCAGCAGCACTGGTCGCTGTAGTTACGGACATCTATTAAAAATACTCAATATATGGGGTGACAGGCGGTTAGGATACACTGAGACTCACGGCGATATTTAATCTATCCCACTCCTCCTGTTGTTTCTGACGCATTGTCTTTTGACCGTTAGCACCCCCTCTGTCAGAGAAAGTTTTCGGCTGGCTCCATGGTCTGATATGAACGCTCGAGTCGTCAGAGCCGGGGATAAGGTCTTCGAAGTAACCGAGGCGTTCCAGGTACTTATTTGGAAAGCCAAGTGCAAAAACGCAGATCGCGACCCAAAGGGACCAACACAATGTAGACTCTTCGATAGTTGGCCATTTGAAGCGCGAGTCTGTACGAAAAATCATTTTACAGCCTCACTGGTGGAGTTGAGAACGTTCAGGCACGGTACGAAGTGAGTGGAATCACCGAGTTCTTAGGTTTAAATATCCCAACACACTTCCACTTCATATACTTGTGAGGACAAAAGATTGTATCATATTTACAACCTTGGGAGGGGCGCTCATGGTGGCTGTTACCCACTCGCGATCTTATTTGGACAAAAGTTGGCCATCCGGGTGTTATGACAATTGGGGAGCCCAACCTTTGTGTTCCAAAAAAGGAAGTTTTTGTCTGCGCTATTGTTGCGTTCCCGCCTCAAAGCTGTGTCTAGTCCCTTATAATCATGTTAGAGCGGCTCGTTCCCGAACTTACATATTCTAAAACCGATTCTTTGAATTTGTCTATCCATTTGGCTTACTTAGCCCAATCTGGATGGGAAGCTCGCATGTATCGACACACTTAGATAGAAATAACTGAATAGTGGCAAGCGCTCAAGCACGACAATGAGCCCCCGGGTTTTCGTGGGGACAAGCTTAGGCACAGGCTTACTTGTGTGAAATATTCGGAGGACGTGCGCATGGGCGGACGAAGGGGAGTCTCACACGTCATGGTCCTCTCGGCGTTTATAACAGCACAAGAGACGCGGACAAGTAAAAAAAATATCCCTTGAATCAGAATCGAACTGATGGCCTCAAGATAATTTCCAATTACAGTCTTGCGCTCTTCCAGCTGAGCTACCAAGGGCGCATGAGAAGGAATTTACTTGAATCTTTATGGAAGTCGGTGCCACGTGATATCGGATGAAATAAGAACAGCACGCCGGTCGTGGCTGTGCGATCACCAAGCTTTGTCCCGAACGACGATGGTGTGTCAGAAATGTACGAAGGTCGGTCTCGGTTTTGACAGTCGTACGGCTTCGAAAATTAACGTTAATTATTTAGAAACTTTCTAAAGTTGCGGCACCAGATCCGTTCGCACCCAGCTCATCGTCCCGCAAGGTCGGCGAGAATAAACTCCTGACAGGCCGCAACGTGGGCGGAGCTGGTTCGTCGAAACGATACCAGCCTTACCAAGCTAAATGTAAAGACTGTAAAAGTTCGGTAACACAGAATGGGGCCAAATACTGTCACGGTGAGACGAATTCCTTGATATCCGGCCAGATACGCTAAACGCCACTTGTATGTAGGCTGTGCGTATAAGAAAGGGCTATGTTCTATTTGCGGGAAAAAGATTCTCGATACTAAAGGATACGTCATGTCTAGCAAATAGAGGGTGTGGATATCGGGTAGCGATGTCCCACTATTGTATGTATTTTATTCACAATTATATTTGTATTTCTAAACGTTGCATGGATGGCCACCAGCTTAGAGTCGACCTGCGAGCGGGATCCACTAAGTCCGAATGCCAATTCCCCATTTAATTATACCTTACCTTTCCACCCCTTCTCGCCCTGTTCACCGAACTTGGCTGCATATGCCGGACCAATCTGGGCGAATCGTCAGCTCTCGGCTAAGTGGTCTATATATGGTGGCATACCTCGCCAATCATATCACTTGTTATAACCCCACGGCCCAGTTTTTCAAACGCCAAGTGACTTGCTGCGCGCGTTAGGATCGAAGCGCCTGCGGCCGCGAGGAGGGGGATGCGATGTTCCGGGATATTCTCGCCTGTACGTATGATTGACCATTAGACAAGTAGGCAGCTTCAAATAATACAAGACATTGCACGTACCTTGTGCGTCTCCTTCGTCAAGTCCATCCTCTACATACGCTTTGCCCCAAGCAAGAAATGTGCCGGCCATTCCAGACAAAATATCGCCTTGACCCCCGCATCGTTTCAGTCCGCCAGGTTCTTTGATTTCCTCTACCTGTTTGTGGCACATGACGTTATAGCTTCATACCACGGACGAGAGAGCTGCGGATTGGACTGTACCTGGTCACCAGACACGATCAAGTCAGTAGGACCTTTTTGGATTATCGTAACTCCTCCAAGTGCTTTCGATAACAACGGCGCGAATGAAGAAGGTTCGCCTTTCATATTGACTTTCTATGGTTAAATGAGGAAATCGGATCTGGCAAAAGGTGATGTGAGAATTACATACCAGTGCCTCACATAGCCGTTTGAATTCCACTACGTTGGGCGTGAGAACTGCTCGGTCATTTCCTTTGACTACATCCGGTTCGTTTTGAACGAGATAGAGGCCATCGGCGTCGATAACCACATACATTCCCTTCGTTCAAGTGAGCATGAGATAGCGGCAGGCTTTCCATCTCGACGTACGTTTTCCCTGGCCAGTTGGAGGGCGACTTTCGCGGTTTCCTGCATATGTTTGTCCCTCCCTAGTCCAGGTCCAATAACAAGTACATGGAGACGCGATACTATCGGCTCGAGTTTAGATTTGATGCTATCCAGTGTACTTTACGTTCTTTAAGTATACATAGTCCCGAAAGTACTTGAGTATACGTACTCGTGCTCGTTAAGTATGGGATGAACGATTAGATCTGGTGAGTAAGTTTTGATACCCGCACCGGCGCCAGGCTCGCAGATCACATGGGACAAGTCACAGCCCTGCATTCATTACATCAGCTAAAGGTGCATTAAGGCATTACTAGGTATTCACCAGGCGTAACGCTGAGATGGATGCGAAATACGGTGCACCTGTGTAGCTAATACGAAAGGCCGTCTTAGTATCGACTAATATCTATATGCACCGCACTTACTCTTGCGATCCTCCAATGACTCCCACACGTCCTGCTTGTCCTTTATGTAGCTTGGGCGACAGAGGAGGAATTATTTGTTTAATTTGTTCCAGGAGTGCCTTGTTCGCCATGTTTCGGATCGCAGACCTAAACATGCACTGTATGCTCGAAGAAACCAAGACACCTGTGTCTTAGAGTACGTCGTTGACATCATGGCTATCATGGCCCTAATTTCATAATATTGGTCCCGTGACGTTGTTGACACACTGTTGACACCTGTCAAAGCCAAACCTCAAACAGATCTAGAGTTTAATCGCTTTTTGCCGATTTACCGTTTTGCATCTGTCTCCAACCACCTCCTTCGAAACGGCATCGCCCCAGTCTTCGGGAAGTGCATACAACCAACCTTGGATGTGTTTCTTGCTACGCTGTTCGAAGGCCCCACCGGTGTAGTGGAAATGCGGTGACCACAGTTCTGGAATAAGGCACAGCTATGGCCCAAGATAGCCCCTATCTACGTTCGAACCTCGACCTCGCACGATCTTCCGCAATTCTGATCTCCTAAGCTGGATGGTATCTCTCGACAAGATATATTGTTGCTGTGGTTGTTCGACAGATTCAAGAATCGACTGCGCCGCGTGCGTGTCTTCCAGGTCGGTCGCCAGGTGCCAGTATAGCCACTCCTATGTCCTCCGCAGCTCTACGCTCCGGTCGCTTGTTGTGGATCCTTGGCGCCGGTATAAAAAGGGGCTCGATGTCTCCTTTACCACTCACAACTTGGCTCCGTGTCTTCTTTCTCGCGTTTGCTTCCCCAGGAATAACTTATTATTTTCGGGCTTTGAAAGCCCTCATCCTCCGTCTTATATTTGCTTCTGCACTCTCTTAAAGGCCGCCCTCTTGTCCAACACTTTCTTTCCTCGTCCCTCGACTACCACAACACATTCAACTTCACCACATTTTCGACAAGTTTGAACAATGGTACATCATTCGTGGCTCACTCTCACACTTTCAGCTGCCGCTTTGGTATCTGCCTCGGGCTCAGTATACGAAGGGGGGACCCGGATGCTAAAGCACCGCCGCGTTTCGCGTTCAAGCCTCCATCATCGCACTCCAAGTGGACTTCAAGTTACTGAACGGGCAACCACCAGGACATACAAGATCGCTGATAACTACTTTGGCGACAACTTCTTCGAGTGAGTAAATCATTGCCTTTCTTCCTTTGTGGCTAGGGCTTATTTACTCGCGGTAGTGGATGGGACTTTTTCAGCGAATCCGACCCAACCAATGGCAATGTCAACTACCTCTCCAAGTCCGACGCGTTCTCCAAGAAACTTGCCTATGTGCAAGATAACGGGACTGTCGTTATGAAGGTCGACGATACCACATGGGTCTCGTCTGGAGGCAACCGGAATTCGTACGTACTCCACGACCTAATATTTCTATTTTTAGAATACGAGGCTTATGCAATCCTTCTATTTTAGCGTCCGTATCTCTTCGTCCAAGTCTTACACCAAAGGCTTGTTTGTCCTTGACGTCCAAGCTATGCCTCATGGTTGCGGTGTTTGGCCTGCGTGGTGGACTGTTGGACCCTCGTGGCCTAATAATGGAGAAATTGACATCCTTGAGGGTGTCCATGACGTGAGTTTGGACCCTTGGAATTCAATACTCCACAATCTCACCTTTATCGCACCTTAGCAAGAGTCCAATCAAATGACTCTCCACACATCCTCGGGATGCACCCTTGATACTGGTCTGCTCAAACTCAAGACTTCAACGATTCTCTCCAAGGACTGTAATGCAGCAGTAAACTCCAACGCCGGATGTGCTTTCCTTGACTCGGACAAGTCTTCCTACGGTGCTGGGCTCAATGCGGCGGGTGGAGGCGCTTATTCGATGCTCTGGGACGACGACGGCATTTCTATCTGGTTCTTCCCTCGGAGCAAGATCCCCTCTGATATCCAGAACCTCAAGTCCAAGACAAATGCGACAGCCGATCCATCGACTTGGGGAACTCCCAAGGCACATTGGGCCTCGTCGAGCTGCTCTACCGGCAAATTTTTCAGCTCACACAGTATTGTGTTTGATACGACCCTTTGTGGCGATTGGGCTGGCGCCACTTATTCCTCGACCGGGTGCCCCGGGACATGCGCGGACCGGCTGAAGGATCCGGCCAATTTCAAGGGTGAGTCATCCGTGGTGTAACTTGCTTCACAGAATATTGACATGGCCGCGGTAGATGCTGTCTGGAAGATTAACTCCGTTACGGTTTTCAAGTAAACCAAGTAAATAGATACGATTGGATTTCCACTGCCCTTCACAGTTCGTTCAATAGATTCATACCAGCTGGGCTTGTGTATGTAGCGCATTAGGTTGACATTTGTATGAATAGTTATTTTATTGGAGCTTCACTAGCGAACTTGGGTCCCACGATGATTCTCGTGATCACGAGAATCGCGCGCATCAGCGCTTCCTCAATTTTCCGCGCTTTTTGAGTTTTTGGGTCGGCTGTAGTGCCCGGCATTGAGAATATGCTGAATGTCCATGCTAGATCCGGTAATTCGGCACGGGTCGAGCCGGAAGATTTACTAAGCGCCAAAGTGCCTTCTGACCACCACCGCATCCTTTCTTGGGTTCCTTCCGTATTTCATGAATAATTGAAGAGTAATAGATAGCGGTAAGTATGAACATAGGCTGACATTTAACTCCTAATCGATCCGTTCGACCGATTTGTAGACCTGAAACAGCCCCCACCCGATATACGAGTCTAAACCAACGTGGGCCCGATTACGCCTGATAGCGATCCCGTTGTAAGTGGCCCGTATCCATGGATTGGGTATAGCCCAAGCGCGCATCCTGGATGAAGGAGTACCAATACTTATACGACATCTTATTTCTCAGGTGTCTCATTCCCCCATCCTACCATGTCCGAGTCTACCAACCAGATTGCATCGTTGCGCACAAAGCCATTCGCCCACCATTCGGTCGCTTTCTCTCCTTTCCATCCTAAACTGCTTGCACTTGCTTCATCTGCTAATTACGGGCTTG